CCTGGCTCTTGAGACCCGCGAGCTCCGCGTTGCGATGCGCCTGAACTCACTTTTCCACGTCAGCTCGTTCACTCATTCTCGCCGTCACCTCCTCCCGTCGCGTCGATGTGCGCCAGCTCGCGACGGAGCCCCTCGGCCGCCGCCGCCGCAGCAGCAGCCTCGGGACGCAGCCGTCCGATCTCCGCCGCCGCGGCCAGCAGAGAGGCATGCGGGTCGGGCGCGTCGGCGAGCGGGCGGTAGAGGTTGAGAAAGGCGTCCTCGGCGAAGGCCTGCCGCCGCGTGAGTGCGTCCACCTCTGCCTGGAAGGCCTTGATCAGCACGCCGATCCGGCGCGGCCGCTCCTCGGCCGGGGTGTCGCGAAAGTCCTTGATGACGTCCTTGAGCGCCTCGCGGCCGACGGCCGAGTCTTGCCGGTTGTCGGAGATGGAGATGGCCTGGTTGTCGAGGGTCGCGTGCCGCTCAGCCGACAGGCCAACCTCCGCCCACACCGCGATGCACAGCTCGAGCGAAGGGCCCTCTTCCATCGGGCCGGGGCGGCTGGCCGGGCAGGCAGGAGTCGGCTCCTGCTGGGAAAGACCAGTGACACTCGAGAGTGAGTGACCAGCGGGAGAGTCCGCGACCACCATCCTGTTTTGCTCTTAGTCATTTTTCTCGCCAATCCCAAGAGAGAGAGTCGGCACACCGATTCCGGATCCTCTCTGCTACCCTCTCTGCTACCCTCTCTGCTACCCTCTCTGCTACCCTCTCTGCTACCCTCTCTGCTACCCTCTCTGCTACCCTCTCTGCTACCCTCTCTGCTACCCTCTCTGCTACCCTCTCTGCTACCCTCTCTGCTACCCTCTCTGCTACCCTCTCTGCTACCCTCTCTGCTACCCTCTCTGCTACCCTCTCTGCTACCCTCTCTGCTACCCTCTCTGCTACCCTCTCTGCTACCCTCTCCTGACGACTCCTATGAGCAGATTCGAACTGGCGACCAAAAGCTGAGTGAGGTGCCGCCACTCCCCCATGACATCATTTCCTGAATTGCCCACCACCCACCCAGGGCGGTAGGCGCGCTAATAGAGAACCTGAACTAAAGTAAAATTGAACGAAAGTATAAAGAAGAAGATCAAGCATCGCATGTACCATGTTTCATTGCAATGATTTTCAATATCATGCTTAGTCGGCTTATCACAGTCGCTAGCTTCCTTGTTAGCTTGCTAGTATGTTTGATATTCATGCGTCAATCATTGTAACATCACACTTCTAATCCTCTATCACATCCTCTACCACTCCCACCACCACAGCTAGCTGTGGTGGTTCCGAAAAACAGGTGCGCGGGATCTCAATCCGCAACGGTAGCGAGATAGGTGCTCGCATATACTATATGCGAGCACTATCGCTAAAATCTGGCAAAATGAGGCCACAGCCCCGCTGATGCACTGTCTGCTAGCGGGCAGCAGCAGCACGGCTCGGCACCGCGCTCGGTGGCGTTTTGCTGACCTCAAACGTCAAAGCACAGCCGTTTCGCGATGGCTGAGAGAGAGCTGTGCGCCTGTGCAATCCACGCGCACGCTACCAGCGGAGGATGGTGTGCTGCTTTGGCGCGGTGCTGAGAGGTACGCGCGGCGCTGCAACTACAACGCATAGCTCTAGGCAGCACCTCGAAGTCGACGTTCGTGGCGATTCGCGTCGAGCGGACCGGCTGCGAGCCAGGTGGGCTACGAGCGAGTGCAACCACGACGGCAGCTGTCAATCTCTGAGACACAACAGCTGCCGTCGTGATTGTCAAAGATGGTGCGTTTGGCAAAGCAGGTCACCAAACGCGAGCGATCGAGTCGGCGCCGGCGGCTCGCGTCTCGCGTCGAATAAGAATTTGACGACCACACGGGGCACGGGACTCGCGCGCACTGGCTTTGAAAGAAAAACACTTTTCAGTGAAGAATGTTTGTCAAGGAAACCGAGTCACCACGCACATCTACTGACACGGAAGTATGCACACTGTTCCAATATGAACATCTTCAGAGACGCGCTACTCAACAAGTCCTCAGCTACTAACAACATGCGGCAGATCAGCGGCCGTCGGTGGGGCTAATCCTTGTACTCAACTGGGTGATCTAGTAAGGCATGTCGAAACTTTTGTTGTTGGTCAGCAGCATGTTCGGATGCACCGCCAGCTGCGCCTGCTGCTGCGCAGCGTGCCTGCGGAAGCCTTTGTCGCGGTACTTGACGATCCGGTACACGAACTGCTTGACAGTGACCTCGAGAGCGGATGCCCACTCAGGCGGCGACATCTCCTCAAACGGCTTTACATCGGGAGCCTCCTGCGCCAGGTTGTTCAGGTGCGCGTAGACGAAGTTGTTGATGTCGAACGCATATGGCGTGTACGCAATGATATTCCCAAGAAGGCAGGTGCGCGTGTGCGCACTGCAGTCAAAGACAAAGCCGCCGCCATTGGCGTCACGCGCACGAAGCGCCACCTGGCATGGAATCAGGTCGAAGTACTTCGTCGGGCACGCGGAGGCGTCCGAGTGATGGTTCACCTGGTGCACGACTTGAATGCGGCTGGGCGGCTCGATGCCGAAGCACCTCATCATGGAGTAGTACGCACGGTCATCCGGCTGCGTCGCCACAAAGGTAGGTCGAATGCCGATGGCCACCAGCTTCTGCGGCAGCTCTTCCGGCAGCTCTTGGCGCAGTGCCTTGCGGCAATTCCCGCTGTTTCGATACGCTCTGGCACGCGCCCTCGTCCACGTCGCAGGCAAGGGGAGTTGGAGTCCGGCGCGAGCGGTCTGGTCCCACATTGCGAGAGCATCGATCACTTTCCCCTTCGGCACCGTGATATCCTTGTGGCGGAAGTGTTGCTGTGTCGCCAGCACCTCCTGCAGCGAAAAAGAATTTAAACAAGACAACTCTCTCTCACAGCACACAGGCTCGACACAGGTGCGAACTGGCGCGTGCTAGTACTATCACCGGCGAAAAAGAATCTTACAAGCTTGTGCGAAAAAGAATCTTAAAATTCCCTGCCACAACACTGGGCACGGGACTGGCGCGCACTGGCACTAACACAGGAAAAGAATTTCGCAAAACTAACGGGAAAATGCCCTGTGTTGTGGCGGCGTGCCGTCCTCCCATCCCTTCCTTGGGTCGTCTGTTTTCTTTCTTTCTTTACAAAAAAAGAAATTACAACACAACAAACCGGGGATTTTTCTCCAACTTTGCTTTGTCAATAGTTTGTCTTGTCTAGTAAACCAGTTTACGACCCGGCGCAGCAAAATGCGGGTTGAAAGAAACGCGGACGAGAGGCTTATCAAACCTCCATTCTAAAGCAACAACACCGAACTCACACGGACACGAATCAAAAGTACGCATGCTGAAAGAAGAGCACGACGCATGACTCAATGGACGCACACCAAAAGGCATGAGCCGTATGGTATGTATTTCCCTTCACTTATCTTGTTCCACTTTCTTTGCCAGTGAGGGAAGCTGATCCCCGAGCTGGCGCTGGACGCGACCGCGCAGGTGAGACACGTGCTGGCTCGCCTCCGAGTTGACAGAGATGCACTGTCCGATGACTGCTCGCTCCTGTCGGCGCAGGTCTTCATGTTTGACCACACCGAGGTGGACGAGGCGGACGAGGAGGCGGAGGGCGGGTCCTCGACCGGCATGGGGGCGCGCGTCATCACCGACCAGGCGGGAGATATGGGGAGATATGGGGAGATATATATGAACCGTACAAACAACATGCCCTGGAATACGATACGGAAACGCGCACAGAGAGAGTACAGTTAACGTACGCATGCACGCACATGACAACCCAATCAAACCTTCAGCCCAAAAGCGGGGGCAGGAGAAATCCAGCTGAGCCGCTCACTCAGTCTCGGAAACATTCGCTTCCTCCATGAGCGGGCGATCGACGTCTGCGAGGCTGCGTCGTCCAGTTTCTTTGCTGCGCCCGACATGGTCCTCCTGAGCGGCGCTAGCGCTGTGGGCGGCCTGGTAGACCGAGGCGAGGACGAGGAGCGCGAGGAAGCCGAAGTTGAAGCCGACAAGGGTGTTGATGACGCTCGTGGTGGCATCGAATCCAAAGATGCGCTCGAGCTGCTGCCGATCGCCATCGAGGCCCTTCTCGACGCCGGCGAACAAGCGAAGGAAGGTGCCAGCGACGAGGGTACTTGTGATGGAGAGGTGCGCACCGAGGGCGAGCAGGTTGTTGATCGGCTTCGCGTATGGGCGCACGTACGCGAGCATGATGGAGAAGCTCGCGGAGAGCATCACGGCCAGGTAGAGCCGGTGCTGCGCGTCCTCGACGAGGAGCACAAAGCCTGTGATGCTCAGCCGGCGCACCATCTCGACCGGCTCCCAAAAGAAAAACTTCGGTTTGTAGTCCTGGTGCAGGAAGGTCGTCGCACGGGAGAGGGGGGTCGAACGGCCGTTGAGGATGTCGCCGCGGCAACGGAGGAGCAGCAAGGTGAAGAGAGTCGGAAAGCCGATCGGCCACAGAAGGAGCAGCGCGGTAGCCTGCCGCACAACCTCCTCGTGCGCGTCGCTTCGATAGGTCGGATCGGAGCAGCGCACGGCGAGATCGGCGCGCAGCTGGAACTGCACGGCGTCGGCCGCGTCGTCGTATGGGAACGCCGTGCAGTCCCACGCACGAAAGATGGCGGCGCTCACCACAGGCACGAGGACGAACGACAGCCACAGAGTCTCAGGCAGCCCAATGGTCAACGGCGCGGAGAGGCGCTGCATGCGGCCGCGCAGGTAGCCGCAGAGCAGCACGGCGGCGAGAAGAGCAAGCGGAAGAAGCGCCTCGCGCAGCAGTCGGCTCGCGAGCCTTGCGGGATAGCATGCGGTCGGTAGAAGTAGCGTGAGGCCGTCGAGCTTCGTCCATGAGAAGACAGACATGGTCTGCGTGTACCTCTCGGGCAGCACGACCCGGTACGCGGACGGGAAGATGACCGCCGCCTGGTAGAAGGAGAAGCCGATCTTGAACTTGATCTTGAGGTCAAAGGCCTTGTACACCGCGTATGGCCGCCGGTAGAGCGCCACCGTCGCGCTGGCGAAGGTGATGGCCTGCTCCGTCGGCAGCAGACGGACAAGCGACGGATACAAGATGAAGTAGGAGAGCGCCATCGCCATTCCGATCAGCGAGAGCCATCCAAGAGCGGACGTCGTCGATCTCGCCGCTGGACACGCGGTGCACGCCGCGAGGTGCTCGGAAAAGTAGTCGCCCGGACCGCACACCTCGCACCTGGTGCCGCTGTGGCCGCCGGCACAGTATCCCCTCTCAGCCGAGACACCGCCGAGACACGGACTCGTGCCGTTGGCGCCGCCGCGGCAGCTGACGATGCTTGTCGTGCGCGCAGAGGAGCGCCACGTGCCGGGCCCGAGGCTGATCGTGGCGAGCGTCGTGCCAGCGGACGGGCATTGGAAGCCGGTGCACACGCGACAATGAAACGCGTCTGCCGAGGATGATGGCAGCGGCTCGGCGTAGAAGCCGACGAAGCACTCACATTTTGAGCGCGCTGTGGCTCCCAAGAGCATAGTGCTCGATCGGGCAGGGCACGGCTCGCACGGCTCGAACGACGCTTCGCTCTTCCACGTGCCGTGCCGGCATGCTCGACAGTGCTCTGTGGCGAAAGGGTCGGGGTCCGGCTCGTGCCCAGTCCCACAAGCCTGCAGTAGGCTGCGCGCGCATGCGATCCCGCCGTAGCCAGCATCGCAGAGGCAAGCACCTTCCAGGCTGCACGAGCCGTGCCCGCTGCACTCAAGGCTTCCTGCGCTGCGCTGCCCGCTGGCCGAAGCGTTCGCTGCTGGCCCGAGGACGCGGCAGCGGCGCTGCGCCCACGGTGGCGACGGAAAGAGGAGCTCACCTGTCGTCGGCAGGCCCGTCGGCGAGTGCACTACCTTGAGCGGCTCTCCGGGCGGATGCTGCGCGACGAGCAGTCCCGCGCTGCTGATCTGGTGCTCGGCGCCGAAGGCAATGCGACCGTAGAACTCGTCTAGGGTCAGCCGTTCGAGCTGTGCCCTCACCGCGGCCGTCTCGACGCTGTCGGCAGCCTCGATGGCAGCGCCGAGCGCACACGCTGCGGCGAACTGCGCCGCTCCGTTGTAGCTGACCTCCGCACCGTCAAATCGCGCGCGGAACATGTCCGCAAACTCAGACGATGAGAGGCGCGAGAAGGTGCCGGTGGTCGGCAGCGACGAAGTCCACTGCGTCGGCCCTAGCACATACTCACCCTGCCACCAGCCAGCAGCTACGCGCGAGATGAAGGAGGCCTTATCAATCGTCTCAGAGAGCAGCACCGCGTACGGGCTCCAGTTCATTCGCTCGAGGGCAGCGATGATGACGACGGCCGCCGTGTGGTACGTACACCCAACGAGCACCGTGGCGCCCGCCGACCGAAGCTGCTGCAGCAGCGTCGTGGCTTCCTCCACGGACGGGACCATCCTGAGCGTCACTGGCGGCAGCGACACGGAGGAAATGCCGTGGCGTCGAGCCCACGCCGGCGACGCGGCGCACTGATCTCTGGTGAACAAGTTGTCGACCTGCACGAAGCCAGCACGCAGGCTCGCCAGGCAGCCAACGCCACCAAAGCAAGGCAGCAGCGACGAGCTGTGCGCGATGCGCACGTCTGCACGCGCATCGAGCGCACGCGCGGCCGCCGCAATGGCCTCGAGGCCGCTCGCTGTGTACATGCTCGCCGGCGGGTAGAGACCGAAGGTCAAGTTGTTCTGGGCGAAGACCGTCGTCGCGGCTGAGCCAGCAGAGAGCATGAGCAGCCCATCCGCAGCGCTCTGCTGAGCAGCAAACCACGTCAGCCCCGAGCTGTAACCCGAAAAGGCAAAGCGCGCCCGAGCATTGCGCATCGCTCGCGCGGTCGCGTTGGCCACCTGCACCGCGCTCGAGCCGTCGCCGACCCAGGAGAAGCGCACGCCGTAGCGCTTGCCGCCGGCGCGCAATCCGCCTCTCTTGTGCAACCAATCGGCGAAGATGAGCAGCGGACGTGTGAGCATGAGCGAATCCTCATAGTACAGGTCGTCGGGATGTCACGAGCTCGGCGCCGCTATCGCGATGACGTCGTCGTATGCTGCCGCAGAGCCAGTGCCGTACACTTCCTCCGGCACGCCCAGAGGCAGCAGCGGCTCCTCAGCGCTCTCAATGTGTGCAGCTGTGCATGATGACATGTCGTCGACTCGGCAGCTGACGACGACGTTGGTTAGCGCGGATGACGAGCGAGCCGACAGCACGAACGCTAGGATTTTCTTCATGTTCGACATATATATCTTTTCAACAGACCAGCCGCCGTGGCCAGAGACCACATCTCGGGACTACTCGTGCTGTGATAAAATGAACGGCGGACAGGACGCCGCACAAACGGGGCACTGTGCCTCTGCGTTCGTGCGTCGCCCATCTCTCCTGCTCTATTTATTTATTTACGACACTGGGCTCTCCCTCCCTTGGGTTATCTGTTTAGCGCTCGCGCCTAGGAGTGTCTAGGTAGTGTCTAGGAAGTGTCTAGGAAGTGTCTAGGAAGTGTCTAGGTAGCTCGAGCAGCGCTCGCGCCTCGGCTCCGAAAGGTCCGGCCCCGCACGCGCGCAGCGCAAGCGTCCGCCAGCGGTAGAGGGCGGACGGCGAGCGCGCGGCCTCCCCTCCCGTCCGCGGCGGAGAGGACGTCGAGCGCCTCCCTCGCCTCGCCGCTCGAGCCGCAGGCGAGCAGCAGCTCGTCGACAGCGCCGTCGTCGCGCAGCACAGTCGCGACGCGACGCGCGCGCCGCCGAGCTCGGGAGACTGACAGGAGAGGCGAGGCCGGGTCCGCCTCGTGAGGCACACACCATGCTCCGTCTGGGGCCGTGCGTGGGCCTCTGGTCGCGGCGTCTCTGGAGCTGTGACCGTCGAACATCGGCCGTCAACTAAGCCCTCGAGCGAACGTGTCCGGAGAGTGAGGCCCTTGGACGGGTCCAGAAGCGGTGCAGTGGATGACCTGCGCGCCGCTGACCTCATGTGGGGATGTGATGTGCCAACACCAACACTGATCAAAAACCTGGAAACCCTTGTTCAAAGCCGACCCTAAGCGCCATCCTTCCTGCTCTCACCTGATGCTGCTTCCCCGCGCCGCCTCCTTGGCCCCCTCTGGGCCCCCTTGCGGCGCCCTTGGGCGTATTCTCTACTCTCCCAGGGTCCCCGGCCCCCAGCTGCGAGCTGGGAGCGTGGAGGGCCCCCACCCTTGTTTTTTCTGTTTTCTGTTTTTCAAACCCTGCAATTCCGACCTGCAGGTGCTCTCGAGCGAGCGCCGGGCGCGGCGCCCTCCCGCAGTGTTCCACACCTCGTTGCCCACCCAAAACCTGGGCGACATTAACGACAACCACTCGACAGCCGTCTCAGCTGACACGATATTGCGACTGCGATCACAGTGAGCTTCGGTCCTCGAGGACAGCCTGGAGGACGCGCGGCAACTCCGACTCGCCATGCAGTGCGAGATAGCACTCCTTGTGATGGAACGCCAGGCCGAGGCTGCCGCCTGTGAAGCATTCCTCGCCATCGTCCAAGTCGATGTCCATCGTCAGGGCCGGCGTGACAATGATTGTGCCGGCGGGAAGGCCCAGGTCGTCGTCGTCCACGTCGGGAAAGGTCGTGGCGTCCGTGTAGGCGAGCTCCATAGGAGGGAACGCGCCCTCGAACTTTTCGTCGCCCGTCTGTTCGAAGACGACATCGGAGTCGAAGCACTGACCATACAGCAGCGCGGTTTGACCGGCTCGCGAGAGGAAGACGCGCAGCTCCACCGGCGGCTCATCAGTGCCGCGCCAGCTGAAGCTGCCGAAGTTCTCCCCACGAAGCATCTGCGGCAACGAGTTGCACGGTGGCTCCGACGTCCATCCAGCTTGCCAACCAGTTCCCGGTGGCGACCGACCTACGTTGGGCAGCGCTGTCCAGAGCGGCAAGTCCACGCTGCATCCCCCCCCTGACTCCACGCCAAGGTCCGAATCCTTGCAGCGGTCCTCTTCCCGCCAGATACGATCGTAGCGGCACGACGCGTTGGCGATGAGCGTGGACCCCTTGCGCAATTCGAAAGAGAAGACGAACTCGTCGATCTCTGGAGCGGTAGTTGCCTCCGTGGAGAGAGCATCGGCAGGCAGCGGACGCAAACAGCTACGGTACAAGTCCAGGTTTCGGCACCCGATCGAGAGACGGGTGTGCACGCGGTAAAGCGCGTAGCCACCGTGCGCCGAGTTCTCGCTTTCCACGATGAGGATCTCCCGCACCAGTCGGAAGCGCGCCTTTGCCAGGGCGGTCCAGATGCCGTCGCTGTATGCGACGGCATTGAATGCGCTGCACGTGCGCGCAGTGGAGATGACAGCGCAAGCGGAGGTCAACTGCGCGAGTACGTGCTGCAAGAGGTCGGGCGCGAGGTCGGTAAGCATGGCAGCCGAGTAGAGGGGGGGGGCGTCCCACGATGGTCCAGGAGCAGCCAAGCGAAAAAGAATTCTTAAGACCAGCCTCTCTCACAGCACACTGGCTCGTGCCGCCGCCCCTGCCACCCCTGTGTCAGTGTGCCTGTGGTAGGAGAGACTGCCAGCGACAAGCTGGAGGCAGGTCGCTAGACTGAGATGAGACCGCCAGTGGATGTGGGAGTCCACCGCGCACCGCGCTGCGAGCCTGTCGTGTCCCTTGTCAGGAGCAGGAGAGCCCCACCTGTCCCCCTGATCGTCCTTCCAAAATCCTGCTCGTGCAGGTGGGGACCTTGTCCTCGTCCCATCCCTCGTTTGGCGTGTCTGTTTTCTTTCTTTCTTTCTTACACTGGCGAAAAAGAATTCTTGAACGCCAGCCTCTCTCACAGCACACTGGAAAAAGAATTTAAAGAAAAGAACTCTGTCTCACAGCAGAAAAAGAATTTGCGCAGGCCCTCGCACAACATTGCGCGAGGGGAGCTCGATAGATTCGAGGGGCCAGGATACGCCGCGAGGAGGACGGAGTTGCGCCGAAAGGCGAAAGAAGCCGCGAGAACAAGGGACCGGCAGGCGGCGGCGTCGCAGGACGAGGCAGAAGAGAACGACGCGACAGAGGAGGAAGTGACAAGGGAGAGAACGACGAGAGTGGGACGACCGCGAGGTGGCATGAAGGTTGCAGCGAGAAGCGGCGAGAGACTGCGAAAAGAGATAGGAAGAGGCAGACTCCCTAGGGTGGGCGACGGCTAGCGCATCACACACCTCTCCTTAAAATCCCTGTGTGGTGGCGGCGTGCCGTCCTCCCATCCCTCCCTTGGGTTGTCTGTTTTCTTTCTTTTACTGGGCACGGGACTGGCGCGCACTGGCACTAACACAGGTACACCACTTCGTGAATTTTGAACCCTGGCACATCACTGGGCCGCACGGGACTGGCTCGCACTGGCACTAGTGTTGTGCGAAAGAATTTTACAACGAGCTCCCCATCGGGCTCTTCTCTTGCCGTCATCACCCTCTGCCGGCGCCTCCGCCTCCTGCGACGGCCCAGCCGCGCCCGCCTCTCCGCCCTTCTTCTTCTTCTTGCCCTTCTTGCCCTTGGCGCGCTTCTCCGCCTCGACCTCCGCCAGCAGCTCGTCGGCGTGCCGCGCCGCCTCCTTCTCCTCCGCCGCCCTCTGCGCCGCCCTCTTCGCCGCCCCCGCAGCCCTCGCCGCCTTCTCGGCCGCCGCCTTGGCCGCCGCATGCTCCCCGAGGCGCGCACGCACTCGGTTTGGCCCTTCTCCTTGGCCCATTGCAGCGCGGTCTCACCCTTCTTAGAGCGCAGCGTCATATCAGCGCCCGCCCGCAGCAGCTGACGCACGACGGTGGGGTAGCCGAAGGCGGCGGCCTGAATCAGGGCAGTGCCACCGTTGTTGGCCTGCATGTCGATCTCCGCGCCGTGCCGGATCAGCGTGTCGACAACCCGCTCGTGGCCTTCATCGGCGGCCAGCATCAGCGCTGTGCTGCCAACCTTGTTTCGCTGATTGACCTCCTCGCCGCGCTGCAATGCCAGCTCGACCATCTCGCTGCAATGCCAGCGGCCGTTCGAGGCGGCGAGACACAGCGCGGTGCCACCGTTGCTGTTCTGCAACGAGACATCTGCACCGCGCCGCAGAAGCGCCTCGGCCAGCCCCGCGTGGCCATTGGCCATTGCGAACATCAGCAGCGTCATGCCGCTCGCAGGGCCGTCCGCAAAGACGTACTCGAACGTCGCGTCGACCCGCCCGCCACCGTCGAGCCACGCCAGCACCGCCGCCTCTTCGCCTCGCTCAGCCGCTAGCACGACCTCCTCTGGCACCGCCTCGCTGCCCGGCGCGGTCTCTGCGCCGCCCTCGCCGCTCAAAGCAGAGGCCGCAGCACTGGCGCCCGCCGCCGCCTCGCCTGCGGGCGCGTCTCCCGCCCCTGCGCCGCCCGCCTCGGCCGACGGCGCCTTGCTCCGGCCAGTCACCTCCCCGAGATACGTCCTGAAGGCCTCGCCGCACTCGGTGTGGCCCTTCACCTTGGCCCACTGCAGCGCGGTATTGCCGCTGCTATTGCGCAGCTTCATGTCTGCGCCCGCCCGCAGCAAGCGAAGCACCACGGCGGGATGGTTGTGGAAGGCGGCGAGCATCAGCGCGGTGTCGCCCTGGCCTGCAGGTTGATCTCCGCGCCGTGCCGGATCAGCGTGTGCACCACCCGCTCGTGGCCTTTGTAGGCGGCGTCCATCAGCGCAGTGCCGCCGTCGCTGTTCTTCCGATCGACCTCCGCGCCGTGCCGCAAAGCCAGCTCGACCAGGTTCTCGCGGCCGTTGGTGGCGGCGAGGCTCAGCGCGGTGGTGCCGCCGCTGGTCTGCAACGAGACATCTGCACCGCGCCGCAGAAGCGCCTCGGCCAGCTCCGCGTGGCCATTGGACATTGCGATCATCAGCAGCGTCATGCCGCTCGCACGGTAGCCGTCACCAAAGGTGTACTCGAACGTCGCGTCGACCCGCCCGCCGTCGAGCCACCGCTCCCGCTTGGCCATCCTTGGCGGCCTTCCGAATGCTTGCAGGGACGTCGCCGCCGCCCTCCGCGGACGGCGAAGGCAGCGTGCCCGGCGCGGCGCTGGCGCGAGCGGGCGAGGTGGACGTTTATGTATGTAAAAGAGGAATGCAGAAGATCGGACAGGGGAGGGACGCGGCCAGAAAGAGGGCGGGCGCCGAGTTTCGAAAGCCGGCGCTTTCGCGCGTTCGAAGAGGCTTCGCACGGAGTTTGTGCAAATTTGCGGTTGGCCTTCGCGCTGCGGCGAGATGGCACCGCAGGCGGCGTGCGTGCACGAGGGCGGCGGCGTCGAGCGCCGAGCAGCACACCACGAGCGCCAGCGCCGACGACGGGAGGCGGCGGGCGGCTCGACCGAGCCGGCGGCGGAGGAGGCGACGGACGTCGAGGCGGTGAGCGCCGCGGACGTGCTGGCCGGCGTGGAGGAGAGCGGCCCGAACTACGCCCTTCCGACGGCGAGGGAGGGCCAGAGGGAGCGGCGGGAGCGGCTGCCACAACTGGTGAGAAAAAAGAAAATGCCGTCCTCAAGTGCTCCGTTTTGTTCCACTTGATACTTGTCCATGCCGTGTGCCGTGCTTGACTTACTCAGAAAAAGCATCACATCTCATTCATTTAGCACGCCTCCGGAGCGTGACATTCTTTTCTAAAATCCGAAGCCGACACTGGCATGGACATGGATGGCTTACACTGTCGACCCACATGTGCTCGGGAGACTGTTACACACAATTCACAAGTGCAATCATCATGAAGAATGGAATGTGGCAGCATGGCACTTACGAACTGCTTTAGGCTGGTCTTGTGGTGTGTGCCGCGAAAAGGTGTTTGCTATGATCTGCATCATGATCAGCACTATGCTTGCACAAGGAATAGCCTACCAACAATTGGGCGAGGCAACACAAAGAACAACTTGAACCTGATTAACGCTTGAGCTTTTGGAACCAATTGAAGGGCTCGGTATATCCCTCAGATCTGACAATGGACATCATGAAGAGCTCCAACGAACGAACACCTTTGGGTGCCTTTGCATCACCTTGGCTCATTGGGAGATTCTCAAGTCCAAGTGCCACCGACAATTCTGCTTTAGTGCATGCAGCTTGCCGCACGTCAGTTTTGGTGCCAAAGACGGCGATTGGCACCGTAGCTAGCTCTGGGTTGCCACGCAAGTTGTCTAGCTCCTGTTTGGCCTCGGGGAGCCTTTCTTTGTCAACAACATCGACAAAAAAGAAGATGCAATCCACACTCGAATAATACTGATCCCAACTCCTTCGGGCCACTTCGTGACCGCCGCAATCGGTGATGTCGAACTCCCGCTTCCCGATAGTGACCGATTCACTGTAAGGGTGTTGTGTTGGGTTTATCTGCTGAAGTCTTCCCGTTTTCAACCTGAAGAGGAAAGTGCTCTTGCCGGAGTTATCGAGTCCGACAAGCAAAATCTTGGGTTTTGCAGGTGTGAACATCTGCACCATCCTGGCTTTCATGCTTTGCTTGCCACTCCTGAATTCTTGCACGGCTGATCTCCAAAGCCGAAACATGCCAACTGTGACGCACAACAAACTATACAGCAAGTCATAGATGGGGACGCTGGTGTTGCCCGCGAACTCCTCTCTGGGGTTGGGCATGCTGAGGTTGGTAGCACTAATAGCCTCGCTCACATTGGTCATGCTGCCATTGGGTGTAGTGACTGCTTGGCTCAAATCAACGATGTCGCTGTTGGCCGCATGGAGTTGGCCCATGAGCATGATGACCACATAGTACACACACAATCCCCAACTAAGGAATGCGAATGCAGATTGATATAAGTCACCAACCCGATATATCCAGCCTTTATTTGCGACAGCTGCCTGTAGCTCGTGGTTGAATGCCTCCTTTTCTTGTTTCGTGATTTGCTGGTGACGCTCTCGTTCTGCGTACGCAGCTGGGCCACCATGGCTTGCCCAAAATGCATCTGAAGCCTCAAGGACCCTTCCAAGCTCAAGCGCGGCAAACCAGTATGCTACTGTGCAAATCACATCGTAATAGGGCTGTTTGAACGGGGCCTCGTCATCGTAAAACTGATAAAACAGCGATGCAATCGAAATTGTGAGCGTGCTTGCAGTGCCAATGAGGAGAGCTTGTACTGCCACAATTACAGTGTCCAGTGGGTTTGAGTCGGCCGCTTCCGAACTACCCTCCCCATCTGTTGCCACTGCGATGGTCCGTTTACAGAAGATGATCAACACTTGCACAGCAAGGAAGCCTTCAAAGGTTTGGACGGCGGTTGAAGAGAAGCTGGAGAACATCATATACAAGAATGCCTGCACCACTTCACCATACACTTCAACCAGGAAATCATCTACAGTTGTTGAAGAGCACTGTGCAAGCCGGCCAAAGAGGTCAGTGATGATTGGCTGCAAAACAAATGTTAGGAAGACCACGAAAGTGGAAAACGCATCCCCGTCCATGAGGTACACTGTGCACAAATCCTCGGCAAGGGAGGTAACGTTGAATGCCCAATCCAGTGCGTCCTTGGCCTGAACGCAAAGGCAAGCGGAGAGAGCTAGGTTTGCAAGTCTCCACACGTGATATGGGAGGAGGATCACGTGGAGAAAAATGCGCATCACGAACTCGCACGGCCCTGCTGGTGTCGTTCCATCGAGAACACCGTCAAAGCACGAGCGGGTTGAGGCTGCTGCCATCTCTTGTGTGGCCTGATCTTTCGCCTCCTCTTCACGTTGAATATGCTCGTCCATGAGCTGGAAGGCAGTGGGGTTTTTGATTCCCATGCGAGCCAACTGGTCCAGGAAGGAGCCACCGCGCCGCACAGGTGCTTCGGGCTCGGGCGGCGACGGTGGTGGCGACAGTGCGCCTCTCTGAGTGGTGGACGTTGACTTGTAGCGCAGCAGCGCAGCGACAGCGGCGGCTACGGCGGTGACAGCGGCAGCGATGAGCGGCAACCCGTACTCCGTGAGGGGCGCCGATACGCGCAATACGACGTCTGACGGCAGCACAAACTCGAGCCACGAGAGGGCGCTCGACGAGGAGAGGCCAGTGGGCGCCGCCGCCACGCAGGGGAGGCACGCCATGACGGCGGCGAGGCGGAAGGCGGCGGACGAAGTAGCCGCGTCGCGAGCCCGCGGCACTTTGCCGCTCGCCGCGAGCAACCCGGCGCCACAGGCGATGGCGACGAGAAACACGAGGGCTGGTACGAGAAGCGACCAGCTGCTCACGAGCGAGACGGTCGAGGCGACGGCAGACGAGAAGGCCGAGGCCGCCAAAAGGTCTTCAGGCAGCGCGACCGCTCCCGGGACGTGCAGAACGCTCGCGAAGAAACCGACAGGCGCCGCCGCCGCGCCGGTGAGGTACGCCGTGGCGGCGGCGAGGCAGGTTGCCCCCTTTCCGCTCGCCGCGGTCGGCCAGGAGGCGACGCAAGCGATGGCGAGGAGGATGAGCACGAGGGCGGGCATGAGAAGCGGCGAGCAGCTCACGAGCGAGGACGCCGTCGAGGCGACGGCGGGCGAGCTTGAGTGTGTGCGGCTGCGGGCCGAATGTTTCTTTTTTTTTGCGCGTTTAAACAGGTTACCTCTCGCTCGACACACACACCCGTGACAACTCCCCTCAATGTAACCGCGTCACACCTCCCGTCGCGTGTGTCCCGCTCTCGCCGTACTCTGGATGCGTCTCGTCTCCGGGCCGCCCGCCGCCTGCCCGCGCCGAGGGCGGGCGGCGTCAGCAGACGACGAGCGTGTCTCGCATCCAGATGAAGGCGCCGGGGTTGTTGTCCAGAAAGTCGAGCAGGTCCTCGCCGATGACGTGGAAGATTGTGCCTGCGGGGGAGGGGCGCGGACGCGGGTCAGAGGAGGCGGGGCACGGCGGCGGATCAGAGGAGGCGGGTCAGAGTGGGAAGGGGAGGGGGGGGAAGGGGGGGGAGGCGCCACGGCGGGTCAGGGGCGGCGGGCCAGAGGGGTAGGAGGGCTGGGGGGGGAGGCGCGGCGGCACCGGCTCTCTCTGCGGTGAGGGTGAGCTCATGCCTGCGGGGGGGGGGGAGGGGCGGACATGTCACGGGTCACACGCTCCCGACGGGAGGCGCGTCTCTGGCTCTCTGCGGCGGGCGATGCTCGTGCCGGAGCCGACTATGAATTGACTATTGATGGACTATTAATGAGCTATGAATGAACTATTCTCGTGCCGGAGCCGGTTCTCGAGCGCGTATACGTTGACGAGTAGCGCGCCCGGCCCGAACGGCTCCAGGTCCTACGTTGTTATCACGCCAACCTCAGGGATATGGTATCGTGCAGTGTGTCTTGAGAAACCGCGTGAATACGAGGGGCCGCGAACACGGTTGAATACGCGTCCTCTCGAGCGCTAGTTGGAGTACAAGAGTCCGTCTTCCGCTTCTAGGCTCCGTGCTGCCAGATACGGGGAGATACGGGGGGAGATATGGGGAGATCTTCCGCTTCTATGCTCCCCGTCCTCCCTCGTCGCGCCGCGCACGTCCGCCAGCTCGCGGTAGGCAAGGCGCGCGTCGCCCACCTTATTAATTAATCATTAATTAATCATTAACTAATCCAGCTCGCGGTAGGCAAGGCGCGCGTCGCCCACCTTATTAATTAATCATGAATTAATCATTAACTAATCCAGCTCGCGGTAGGCAAGGCGCGCGTCGCCCACCAAGACAACGTCGAGCACCTCGTCGCCCTTTCGCCATATTACCTCCCCCTCCCCCACCTCGTGCTGCCGCATGACCGACTGCAGCTGCGTCACCTGCGCCGCCGAGCAGGGGTGCGTGTGGCTGGTGTCTGGAAGGTGTCTGTGGGGTGTCCGGGGGGTGTGTGTGGGAGGTGTGGGAGAATTTCGGGCAATCTCGTGTCAGCTCGGGCAATCTCGTGGAAGCGCCGCCTGAGCCATCGAGAAGCCGCTGAAGACGGAGTTCGCGCCGATGGCCGCCCAAGACGCGTCATACGACAGCTTGGCGCGCTGCTGTATCCGGGCCTAGGAAAGGTCCAGGAAAGGTCCAGGAAAGGTCCTACGACAGCTTGGCGCGCTGCTGTATCCGGGCCATCAGGTTGGGGCGGCGGCGGAAGAGGTACTGCACGTCGCCGCGCTCGATCTCGAGCACCTGAGATTGAGAGTGGCCGAGAGGTAGCCGAGAGGTAGCCGAGAGGCAGCCGAGAGGCAGCCGAGAGGCAGCCGAGAGGTAGCCGAGAGGTAGCCGAGAGGCAGCCGAGAGGCAGCCGAGAGGAGGAGGGGAGGAGGCGGCACCTCGACGCGAGTGGCGGCGGTGATTAATTAATTAAGGCAGTGATTAATTAATTAAGGCGCACCTCGACGCGAGTGGCGGCGGTGATTAATTAATTAAGGCGGTGATTAATTAATTAAGGCGCACCTCGACGCGAGTGGCGGCGGTGATTAATTAATTAAGGCGGTGATTAATTAATTAAGGCGCACCTCGACGCGAGTGGCGGCGGTGGCGGACGCGGCGTGCGTCGCGTCCGTGAGCAGCTCCCCCTCGCCTGTGAAGAGTGAGCCATGACTCTTGATTAGCATTCGATGCGCGCGTCGGTGAGCCAGCTCCCCCTCACCAAAGTAGTCGCAGTAGCGCAGCTCGAAGGGCCGCGCGCCTTAATGAATCACAGCTAACAATGAACCATTGATCAGGTAGTCGCAGTGGCGCAGTGGCGAGGGCCGCGCGCCGTCGCGCTCGTACATGACTATCCCCGCTTTGACGATGCGGAGGAAGCGGCCCTCGTCCCCCGCCTTGCAGATCGGCTCGCCTGCTTCGTCATTTTCGGACGGATTGCTAACTCACCCGCCCCCGCCCCCCCGCGTTGCAGACCGGCTCGCCGGCGGAGTACGACCGCGTCGTGATGACGGAGAGCACCTGCTCCAAACAACAACGACGATCGCAATGGTGAATGGATGGCCCAGACCGCGCCGCGATGGCGGAGAGCACGTCGACGATCGACTCAACGTCGAACTTGCGGAAGATGTCGGTGACGAGCAGGATCTGCAGGATCTGGTTCGCCTGCGGCCGAGGTGCGCCGAGGTGAGGCCGAGGTGCGCCGAGGTGCGCCGAGGTGAGGCCGAGGTGAGGCCGAGGTGCGCCGAGGTGAGGCCGAGGTGAGCCGAGGTGCGCCGAGGTGAGCCGAGGTGAGGCCGAGGTGAGCCGAGATGCGCCGAGGTGCCGGTCACGAGCAGGATCTGCAGGATCTGGTCGGCCTGTGGTGTGTGTGTGTGTGTGTGTGTGTGTGTGTGTGTGTGTGTGTGTGTGTGTGGTGTGTGTGTGTGTGTGGTGTGTGT